GGGGGGGGGGGGGGAAGTGCCCCCCTTGACCCTACCTGCGGGCGCCCATGTATAAGAGGCACCTAATTATAAGGTGCAACCGTATTTAAGACGCTAGTTTAGAAGATTTGTGTCAACAAAAAATACATAAATTGGACGCTGCCTAGCCATCTGCCGCAGTTAGCAATTTACACCCAGTGGTTTCCTTTCCTTTATCATCAATGCAAATGTGTCCAATGTTTCATCAGCCCCGTCGGATGTAAGCAAGGCTACATTACCATTTTTAGTCAATCGATACATTAAGAATTGTCTGTACGGTTCAGTGATGTTAAAATTACTTACGGTGCAATATTTTTGCGCATATAAGACACACCTAATTAGAAGACACACCAATATACAAGACACGGGTTTTTGACGATCTGGAAAAAAAATACGCGAAAATAGGGTAAATGGAAGAAAGATATTAATAAACATATCCGGGTATTCCGTTTGGCAGGTCTCTCAAGAGATGTTCGGTATATCTAAGTTACTGTGAGTCAGCACAATGGATCTTATCCTAGATTAAAGATGGTTTTCAACTTTATTTTACGAAAGATTTCCCTAAAAAATGTGTTACTGCCAGGGTGCAAACTGGTGAGGTTTGGCGTAAGGACAGCTACCCCACCCGTAAAAACAAAACTTCCACAGAAACGCAAAAAAAAAGAAGGAAAAAAAAAACAATTTCAGCCCGGAAACGATAGGGCTCTTCTTCCCCAAGACGTGTTATGAAGGACAGCTAACATTGGTCTCGAGAGAAACACTAATTTACTCAGGACCTAAAAAGGAAGATGAAAAAAAAAAAGCTTTCTACAATAGACTCCAAGCCGTAGTAAAAAAAAATTCCATATAGAGATCTATCATAATGAAATATCTAAATGTTACCATTGGCAAAGAAAACAGAGAACACGAAGGATTAATAGGACGCCATGGTATTGAAGAGAGAAATGAGGACGGCGAAAGACTGGGAGACTTCTAGGCGGCAAATGAGCTCGTTATTGGAGGAGGCGAATTCCATTTAAAAATATCCACAAGGTAATATGGGTATCCCTTGATAACAAAACACAAAACCAAATTTATCAGGTATTTATTATCAAATAATTTAGAAGGCTCTACAGGATGTGCGAGCAAATAGATGAGATGGTTTTGCATCGGATCACCATCTAGTTTGGCCAAGATCCGATCTAAAACTGAAGAAAAACTGAGAAGAGCCAGCTGCTAAAAGACAAAACTACAACATAGCACTCATGACAAATGAGCAGAAAAGACAGGAATTCAGTGCTACTTTGAGAAAAAAGTAACAGGCACTCTCAGGAAGATACAAGAGGCATAGAGAGACAAGTAAAGACAAGGAAGGTAGACCAGATCAATAATTGAACGGAAAGACCTACAAAAAGATGGGTTGAGTTTTTTAATGTACAGACCTTCAACCCCGGAAACGCCTTATATACACTAATGATTTACAAAATAGAAGACAATGTCCTAAATAAGGAAGAAAAACCCCTGGCTATCAAGCAGCTCAAAATAGAAAAAGCATCAAGAGCAGATAACATCCCAACAGAGATGATGAAGGCAGATATAGATACGATAGTCAACATGCTGCACATTCTGATTGAAAATAAATGGGAAGAAGAGAAAGTTTCAAAAAGAATGGAAAAAAGGATACCTCGTCAAGATACCAAAGAAAAGAGAATCTCAGCAAATGTGCAAACTACAGAGGAATTGGTCTTTAAATAGAATGAAAGTCCAGATCAACAGGCTGGCTTCCGCCGAAACGTATCAAGCACAGATCGAATTGCAGCACTACGAATCATTGTAGAAAAGTCCATTGAATGGAATTCTCCCCTGCATATACATTTTATCGACAACGAAAATACTTTTGATAGCGTGGACCGAAAAACATTGTGGAAACTTCTCCAGCATTATGGAGTACTAGGAAACCTAGTCAGGATCATTCAGAGCTCTTATGAAGAAATGCCATGCAGGGTGGAACACGAATATAGCCTCACAATTGTCTACTAAGTGAAAACATGAGTCGGACAAGGATATATATATATATATATATATATAATACAAATAATCACCCTCTACCACCATCACGTCTT